GTGTTTACATTTTGTTGGTGTTAATAAATATGTTACAAATTAATTATGACAAATTTGGACACATAATTTGCTTGGAGAGAATAAAACAGCTTCCTGGGGAAGAGAATGAAGGTTCATTAAATATTGCAGAGATAGTTTGGAGTGGTACTTTGATGTTCGGTGTCAAACGAACTGAATAAGTTGAAAGAATGGCTAGAATGGGCAGTACCAAGGAGAAAGGGGAAGAGGAATTCATTATGTGTTGGGTATGATCAATGGTGCCGCAATTTTCAGTTGAAAAGAGGAAAGAGTAGGGCTTTAATGGTGTCCTTTAGTGTCTTCCCTGGTGCGTATACAAGAATGGGATGAGAAGCCCAGTCCTTTCTGAGTTTGAGAACCTTCCGTTTGTTGGGGTCTGACTTCAGTGTCCTTTCCTCAGGTGCCATTCCAGAGCTCTCACCTTTAGATCCTACAATAGAAAATGTATTTCAGACTCAAATTCAACCAGCAGTGAATAACCAATCACTGACTCATATGCATGGCAAAGGTGAGTGCACAAAGTCTGAGTGTGAGGATCCTAGAGCCAGGACTCTAAACCATGTCAGATTCCAAGGAGGACGGCCTTGCCATCGAGGTCAGCCCTGGATGGAGGCTATGCCCAGTATAGTAAGTGTCCTGCTGATGAAGAATTAAGCCTTCTCTCAAGAAATGGAATTATCACACATGGGATATTCTAAATCTGATGTGATGACTGAATGTGCTCTGAGTTAGTCTAGGATGGGTACATCGTACGAACAGGGAAAAGAATTCTAATAATTACAGTTTGTTGAAAATCTATTCATTGTTCCATTATGTTCCTTGTCTTTGAAGGCTTTCTGAAGGAGGGAAGAATATCATCAATTAGGCATGTATATTATAATTTACATATCTAGTGAAGTTCTGGATATTTATAAGGCATAGAGAACATATGGAACAATGTGTTCACAAACAGACAACTATATTTATTTATTTATTTATTTATTTATTTATTTATTTAATCATTTGGATTTTTGTTCATTTATTTATTATTATTATTATTATTTTTTTTTTTTGAGAGAAAGACTGTCAGCGTGGGAGGGGCAGAGTGAGAAAGAGACACAGAATCTGAATCAGGCTTCAGTCTCCAGGCTGTCAGCACAGAGCACTACATGGGGCTCGAACTCACAAACCGTAAGATCATCACCTGAGCTGACGTTGGACACTTAATCAACTAGCCACCCAGGCACCCCCAGACAACTATCTTTAAGGTTTGAAATTTGAGACTGTCTTAGTCCAAGAATTTTGGAGATTTTCGAGTTGAATGGAATGAGAATATTGCGATAATACATTGAATTATTTTATAACTTCTAAATGGCACACCAACATTTGAATACGGTTTTGTTCTAATGCATTTTTTAATTGGACAAATACTGACGGAATTCAAATTATGTGTGAGGCTGTACTTTCTCTGGAAAGAAGGGTGCACAGAATAAGAGACTTTTTTTTCTGCCATTATGCATCTGTATTCAGAAACCTGAATGGAAAGGTACTAGACATAATGCAGTAGAGCTAGAAAACTTTTTCAATAGGTCAGGAGTATTGTGACAAGAAAGAGGGTGTTAGAAAAGCAAAGTGTGTATTCTAGGGATTTTGTGCATTAGAACTTATATTTGTGAATTTCAAGAATGGTAGACAAGTAGCGAAAATTAAGCTACAGAACAATTGTAGTGGGCATATTTTCCTTAAACTTCTTGTAAGGGATGAATCACAGCAGAGGGACCACATACCCCAGTCTAAAAGTAGTAGGAAATACTGTCAACCGAAGGAAAAATGTCTACTAAGGAAAGATCACAGGAAAGGAAATCAGCAGTTTTATGAAATTCCCGGTTGAAAGCATTCAGGAAAAGACTGGATGTCCCACATTTCTTTGATGGGGAATTTTAGTGAGGAGTAGAAGGAATGATTCTCCTGGGTTTGTACTCCCTTGCAACTTGCATTTTTAGGTTGTCACAGTCAAAAGTAATCCAAATTATGGATTCTGCCAGATTCATAAAATGGTGATTGATGTAAAGCATAGACAACCAAGATGAGCAGAAATATCCCAAGAAACAACCATAGAAACAAAAAGCAGAGAAAGGAACCTCCATTTCTCCCTTCCTTCCTTCCTTCCTTTCCTCCTTCCTTCCTTCCTTCCTTCCTTCCTTCCTTCCTTCCTTCCTTCCTTCCTTCCTTCCTTCCTTTTTGACTTCATGTCTGGTAATGGAATGATTCCATAAAGGGTTTAGTTAAGAAAAAAAGGAAGTATTTGCAATTAGACACCAATAAAGAGAGAATATAGAGATGTGAGATTCAAACCAAGGTTTCTAGATCTCAACACTATTTGTATTGTACAGCAGAAGTTCCAGTGTTGTTGGGCTCTGTTCTGATGACTGGAATTAGCATCTTCCCTCGTTTATCACACATGGAACTAGTAGGTATCTGCAGTAGGTATCTGGGTGTGAGCAGGCAGGCAAAAATTTACAATGATTCCAGAAAGGAGATGGGAGTTATTTCCTTCCCTATGGGGACAGGTAGATAGTTTAGGAAAGAGGAGAGATCAAGAGGACAAAATTTTCCTAAATGTCCCTCAACCATGAACATAAGGTAAATTAATGACAACAAGTTGTGAAGGTGGGTACCAGTTTTACGTATGGCCCATGATTCTAGTGAGAGAATTCTTTGGCAGAGCAATTAAAATGCTGTTCTTTAAATATAACTGGAGACTCCAACAGAATGAAGTCACATTTCCCAAGACATTTATTGATTGTTGACAGTGAGTGGCATACCAGAAGTGCTTACATATTTGTTGGGTATGTCAGGGGATGAATGGTATGTTCTGCCAATTACTGACAGTATATAAAGGTCCAAGGCTAGTGGAAGCACTCAGTTCACCACATCCTCTCACAACCCACGTGAATTCTCTTCTCTTGACAAGATGTGTTGCAACTACAGCAACTCCTGTGGCTATGGCTGTGGCTATGGCTACGGCTGTGGCTGTGGCCCCTATTACAGCTGGAGTTATGGACCTGGCTATGGATGTGGATATGGCTCCCGGTATGGCTGTGGCTCTGGTTGTGGATATGGCTGGGGATATGGCTCCGGCTGTGGCTACGGCCCCGGATATGGCTGTGGTTGTGGCTATGGCTCCGGCTGCTATGGTTACCGGCCATTTTGCTATAGAAGATGTTATTCTTCTTGCTGCTAGAACATCACCCCATTGTCCTCTAAATAAGACACATCTAATGAGAGGGCTGAATCAAGGATTCATACCTCACATTTTCTATATCCACAAAATTGCATGCTTCACAGAGGCTCTCACCTCCAAGCAACATTTCTAGAATGGCATCTTGTGCCTGAAGGCTGTGTGGTATCATCTGACTCTTTTCTAAATGTTGGTCTTCATTCCCTTACTATGGATTCTGTCATCTGACTGTGGCAACAAGCCTAACACCCCACAGTTGGTCAAATTCCTTATTCTCAATAAAAATGATTCTTTGCTTCTAATATATCTCTGTGATTTTGCGTATGAATTATTCCTTTTTTGAGGTATTATGACTCCTTTGAAAATCTAGGTCACAATATGTTTCATGCACATGAGGGCTCTTCCTTCATATAATGGGAGCCTTTCTTCTCTTATGTGCATCAGAGAAAATGCCTTTTCTACCTGTGCCTTGCACCCCTCATGCCCAGGCCCTCACACCTCAACACAAATGACAGAGTATTTCAGACCTTTCATCTGGAAATCACACTCTATGTAGAATGGAGGTGGAGGGGAAAGGCAAGGAGGGATGTTACCTCTCTTGGAGGTTGTGAGACAAGCTCCAGGGAGAGGAGGTGTGGCCTGAGTACTTCAAGGATGAATGGAATGGAAGAGAGAGTTTCCAGATTAATGAGAAATTAGAAATGGACTCGGGTGTCTAATGAACCAAGGAAAGGATAATTTAGAAGAAAGTTGTGGTATTGTATCATCTGTAATTTAATGGAAGTCCGGATGTATTTGTTGGCATATATTGAGAGTAAGGAAATTGATTTCAGTCACTTAACTCACAAATAGTTTAGAATGCTTTTGAAAGAGAACTATCTTACACACTGAAGATACAGGAGGAATATTGTGGAGTACTTTCTTGCTCTCAGAGTGTTGACATTCTAATGGCGATATTTAAAAATAAGTAGGAATTAGTTGAAATTAATTTGGAGAGATCATCCCTATGAAGGCAATAAAACATCTTACTGGGGAAGAGATTGCAGGCTGAAGGATTGAGGAGATAGTTCAAGGAGGTATTTTGACATTTTGTGTCAAATGAACTGATGCCATTTGAAAGAAATACTAGAAAGAACAGTTGTAAGTATAAAGGAGAAAGAGAAATTCATGAAGGTTGGGGTTTGATTGGTGATGCCACAATTTGTAGTGGAAAAAAGCAAGGGATAGTTTGGGAGTTGCGAGCTTGCTATTGTATTGGGTTCTTACCAAAGTGTCTTTTCCTCATATGCCTTCCAGAACTCTAACAGTTAGAGCATACATCAGAAAAAAGTGTCTTCAGACTCAATTTCTACCAGCAGAAAGAATGACTCACTGTCTCATCTCCGTGACAAAAGTCACTGCAGAAAGTCTGAGTCTGAGGACACTGGAGCTAAAGGTCTCCATCCACAACATGGCCAATTCCAAGGAAGATAACCCTGCCATCAAGGTCAGCCCTGGCATGAGACTATGCCCAGGATATTAAGTGTCCTGCTGTGGAAGAAACAGGGCTTCTGTCAAGGGTTTGAAGTTTTCACTATGGAACATCCTACATCTGTTCTGAGGACTGCCTGTGCTCTGGGTTAGTCAAGGGTGGGTAAATCCTACAGACATGGGGAAGGAATTCTAATAGTTACAGTTTGTTAAAATATACTCATTGCTCCATTATGTTCCTTGTCTTTGAAGGCTTTCTGAAGTAGGGAAGAACATGATCAGTTAGGCGTGTATATCACAATTTACATATCCATAAACGGTCGATAATTTATCAGGTATATAAGATAAGTTGTAGATCTGGAACAAGGTGTTCATAAACTGACAACTATCCTCAAAATGTGAGATTTAAGACTCACTACTTAAAATCATTTGAGACTCAAGGTTGAATGGAATGAGAACACTGTGATAATATATAGAATTATCTTATAACTTGTACTGGCACACCAACACTTGAACACCTTTTTGTTTTAATGCATTTCTTTACTGGGGAAATATTGACGGAATTCAAATTATGTACCAGTCTCTACTTCATAGGGAAAGATGGGTGCACAGAAGAAGAGATTATTTAATATTCTGCGATTATGGATCTGTAATCAGAAAACTGAATGGAAAGGTACTAGAAACAATGCAAGAAAGGTAGGAAACTTTTCCAATAGTTCAGTAGTAATGTGACAATAAACAGGGTGTTAGAAAAGCAACGTGTGTATTCTAGGGATTTTGTGCATTAGAGTTTAGCGTTGTGAATTTCAAGAATGGTAGAAAAGTAGAGAAAGTTAAGCTAAAGAACAATTGTAGTGGCTATATATTCCTTAAAATTTTTGTAATGGTTGAATCACATCAGAGTGATTAGATACACCAGTCTAAAAGTAGTAGGACATACACTTAACTGAAGGAAAGATGTCTACCAAGGAAAGATCACAAGAAAAGAAATCAGCAGTTTTATGAAATTCCCAGTTGAAAGCATTCAGGAAAAGAATGGATGTCACTCATTTCTTTGATGGGAAATTTTAGCGTGGAATAGAAGGAATGATCTTCCTGAGTTTGTACTCCCTTCCAGCTTGGATTTTATAGTGGTCACTGTAAAAATAATGCAAATTTTGGATCCTGCCAGATTCATAAAATGGTGATTGATGTAAAGCCTAGACAACGAAGATAAGCAGAAATATCCCAGGAAGCAACCATACAAACAAAAAACAAAGACACCTTCTTTCTTTCTTTCCTCCCTTCTTCCCTCCCTTCCTTCCTTCCTTCCTTCCTTCCTTCCTTCCTTCCTTCCTTCCTTCCTTCCTATGTCTCGATTTCTTCTTTCTTTCTTTCTTTCTTTCTTTCTTTCTTTCTTTCTTTCTT